CTTTACTTCCTTCCATTTTACAATTTCTCTCTCTCTCGCTCGCTCACTCGCTCACTCTGGCTCTCTCTTGCTCTCTGTTGCTCTTTCTCTCACTCACTCTTGCTCTTTTTCTCCCTCTCACTCTCTGAACTTCACACATGCCACATTTAATATTGGGGCCACTTGATAATCCTGCTTTCTGTAAATTACCATTGTTATCTTTGCTTAATATCACCATTGTATGTACATGTCTTTGATTCATTGTCTTTTGTTCTCTTTTACCTTCTCCCTCTCATTCATTCATTCATGGAATATTTTATGAACAAAAATTGAGAGTTAGCACTTGTCTATCCCATTCTTTTTGACACTCAGAATGATTATCTACACATAGATCCTGCATTTCAGAATCTTGTAGTTAGCAGTCTGAATGATGGAACTGAACTGAGCATACTTTTTTTTCTTAAACACATAGACATTTTGCATTTAGAAATACATAGGCAATCTCAAAATTAAAAATAAAACAGCAAGCACAAGAACACAGCATTCATATCCATGGCGGTTTAAGAACTATAGTGGGCTATAGTTGGCCCAGAGACTACTGAATGCAGATATGTGTACGGGGTACGTTTTAGGACATAAACAGGAAAGGAAATCAAAAACTTACTCCAGCAGGTTGGAGTATACAGTAGAGCCCTGTGCATAAATCCAAGGCTGCAAATATTTCATTGTGTACTAACAAGGACAATAAACCTCAACCAACGAGTCAGCAGGCAAATGGCAAGGAAGATGAAGGAAACACAAGTCTGTATCACAAGTGTGGGGTCTACATGAGTCTTATATAAAGCATTGAAACTGATCAGATTAGCAAAAAAAAAACTGGTGTAGAGCCAGTGAACTGCTCATACTCAGGTCAGTCTTAAGTGCTAAAACTTTTAGCATAGTCCCTTACACAAGCCAGTACCCATGAGATTCACCCAGAAGACAAAGTATGCCAAAACAATGCATGGTAGATGTACATATTAGCACCCCAGCAATTGAGTTTAAAAAATCTGAAGGAAACTATAAAAGAAACATGTTTGAAAATCTAGAATCTAAAAGGAGATAGAATAACCATAAAGGAAGAAATGTCTTATGAAAAATAACAGAAATGTTTGAGAAACAGCATTTCTCAGCTCCTCAACATGAAAAATGTTGCCACTAAAATGAAAATACTGAAGACATTAAACAGTGGATTAGACATGGTCAAGGAAAGAACTATTTAATTGGAAAATAGATCTGAGAAAATCACCTTGAATGCAGTAGAGAGACCTAAGAAGGTAGACAATATGAATGGGAGATTAATGTGGAAGAGACAGTGAGAAGTCCAACACACTGCTAATAGGACTGAGTGAGGAAAAGGGGCAAGAATGGAATAAGGGTCACATTTGAAGAAAGTAAGGACTAGCTGAGGACATTTCAGAACCGAAAAAATGTCTGTAATTTCAAATCAAAGAACATTGTGTCCTGATTTTAGAAACAAAAATCAGTCTGAGGTAGGCAGGGTGGTGCATGCCTGTAATCCCAGAACTCTGGAGGCAAGTTAGGAGGATCATGAGTTTTGAGGCCAGCCCATGCAAATAGTTCCACAAGACCCTATCTCGAAAACACCCATCACAAAAACGGACTGGTGGAGTGGCTCGAGGTGTAGGCCCTGAGTTCAAGCCCCAGCCCCACAAAAAGAAAAAAAAGAAATAAAAAAATCAGTCTGCACTAGGTACATCATTAATGAAACTGCAGGCATCAGATACATTTTTAAAAATCCAAAGCTACCAAAGAAAATTTAGGTTACTTATGGGCAAAGGACAATGTAATTTACCTGGATTTCTCCCAAAGGCATGATGAAGGTCCACAGATAGTGGAAAACTATCTTCAAAGTACAGAGGGAAATTACTCATCAAGCTAGAAACCTGTAGTTTTTTAAATGCTCCTCCCAAGAATGAAGGTGATATGAAGACATTGTCAGACAAGTTGAGAGTAAAAGCTCTGAACATTCAGCAGGTGACCATAGCTGAGAGAATTGCTTCAATACAGTCCTCAGGAAGTAAGAAATTGAACCTCACATTTGGTAAGAAGTGGTGGTGATCAGAGAAGCACACTGCTAAATCTCAGCAGGCATGGTGTGTGGAAGGAAGAGAGAAACTCGTGTCAGTAGAGGTTTGAAAACAAGGTGAAATGGAAGTGCTGAAAAACAGCAGCCTGGAAAATAAGAAGCAGCGAAGATCAGTATTCTAAGTTGTCCTATTTCTCATGGAAAAGCTATTGGCTACCTTTAGATTTTTGAGTATGCAAGTTCTTAAGAATAATTAAATAATTATAAAATAATTATTTAAATGATTATTAAGTAAGTATGAAAATAGAATGTATATCTTCTAAATTCACTAGAGGAGCAAGGAGAGGAGTTAAAAGGCAGGATTGGTCCAATTAAAGGTAGTAAGAAAAGAAAATTAAGGAAGGGCAAAAGGGGAGGGAAGAAAGTTACAATGGTGGTAAAATCCACATGTACTAGTCATCGTGATAAATGAAAACACATTAAACTGAGCTATTAAAATACAGATTCAAATTTCTTTTAAAATCAGCTTTTTGCTGTTTATCAGCTTTTTGCTGGGAATTTTGAAACTTGGGGTACAAGGAAGTAAGACATACCAGGCAAGCTTTACAAAGAGAGAAGGAAAAAAAGAAAAGGGGGGGGGTAAAAAAAAAGAAAGGAAAAAAAGAAAAGGAAGGGAAGACAACATTCAGATCAGACATAAATTTTAAGACGGAAAATATCACTAAGAATGAAAACATCTTGCACAGTGGTCACACCTGTCAATGCACATAGGTGAGGGGGAGGATCTCTTGAGCCCAGAGGTTAGAGGCTAGTCTGGATAACACAGTAAGACCCCTACCTCACTACCCATCCCCCAAGACTGTTCTTAAATAGTAAAAACTGTGTCACTTAATAATAGAAGGGGGGAGAAAAGCTTACAACAACATAGGTAAAGATGACAAAGCAAATTGCTAAAGAAAAAAATCCAAATGCTCAAAACACATTGGGGAAAATGTTGAAATGGTTGGTGATCATGGAACTAGAAATGAACACAACAATGGGTCGCTCTTTGACCTGCCCACTCCCCCACCAGATGGAGAGACATTCTGGATTGGATAAGGGCAAGCATGTGTTAGGAAGCGGAATAATGGGACTTCCCACGCCCTGCTGGTGGGCAGGTGGGCACAGAATCATGACTCCGCAGTTCTTCATTCATGCTCTGCTCCATACAAACACATCCTTTGTAAAATGCAATAAAGAAGTGAAGAAGGTGAGTATGGTTGATGCACTCGCTGTACAAGAACGAATATAGAATTTTTAAACGTGTTGAAACCCCCCTAAGAAGCAGACTAATGTAGAAAGGGAGATGAACCAATTGGGGTTATAATACATATCTACATGTACATGTCACAAGGACACTCCCTGTGTAGCAATCTTAAACAAATAAAAATGTTGTGGTTTTTTTTTTTCTTTTACAAAATCAGAGGAGGGCAAACAGGTTGCTGGATGTGTGGCTCTGTTGATAGAGAGTCTGCCAAGCAAGCACAAAGCCTTGAATTCAAACTCCGGGACCACCAAAAAAAAACGTTTACAAAAGGAGGTGCCTGTCTAATTTCAGATTTCCCTAAAACAACATAGTACTGTATGCTTTTTTTATAGGCACATACATGTGCAATAAATATACACACCTGACAAGAAATGATAATCCCCTAAACTGGTGGTTCCCTTCTCAAATGAGGAAGGGATGGATGGGAACAAGGAAGAGATGGATGGATGAGCAAGCCTCAAGTCTGCCATGTTGAGGTTTTAGACGTCGGAGGAAATATGGCAACAATATTAGCATTTGTTCACATTGTTAACTCTGGGTAGTAATCCATCCATCAGCTTCTGCTGTTACTGTGTATATGTGCTTACAATATTTCCTTAGTTTAAAATAGGTTCTAGTTTATGATGGGAGAAGAAAGACATACAATAATAATTCAGAGCCAAAGGTGCCATGTTTTGTTATGGATTCCTTCTAATCCATAATGGAGTTGAGCCGCAGGGGATTTCTGTCAATTGAGGGGATCCCAGAATGCATCCTGGAAGGATGTAGTGTTGCTTTCCTGCAGTTGCCAGCCTGCTTTCAAACACCCTAAGAAATACATCAGCCATCATGACCTCTTTCCTGTTTCTTTGGTCAAGTTCTTTCCCATTTTTCTCTTTCTGTAGTCTGGTCATCATAAACTGATAGTTACTCAGAGCCTCCCAACAAGTAAAAACAAAGTGATGCCTACCTTCCTTTTCAAGGAAAGAGACTAGAATGACTCCCGCTGTTATCTAATGTAGATTTCTGTGGAAATGTTTGGATGGTGGATAGAGAGAATTGGTTATTAATGTGTATGGAAACATTTGTTCAAATGGTAACAGGCTGCCATATCACATTCTTTCTTGGTCAGAGTGATTCCTCTTGGGGAATTTTGTTTAGTTTCCACTTTTAAGTGTGTTGCTCAAAGAGGAGTTGAATTCTAGGCCTCTGTGAAAGTAAGCATCAAGTCCAGTCCTTTCCAAATAGTGTGCAAAGCCTATGACCAAAAAGGAACAAGAGTCTGTTGTGTCATCCCACATCCCAGCAGTTTCTCTGCTTTATCTTGATCTCACCATAACACATGCTGCTATCAGTTCTAGTTACCCTTATCCTGAAATGTAATCATTGCACATGTTGTATATGTTGGTTTCAATGCTTCTCATGCACTTTTACAGGGTGCTAGCAAGTGGTACAACACTGCTGGTCTAGAGCATCTTACCAATCACTAGGAAAGGCATCTAACTAGTCTTTAGAATACACATCTGCTCCATGTTGAAGCCAAAAGGAAAATTCAGATTCAGGTGTCTTGTTAAGTTGCCCGAGGCTGCCAGTCTGGGTTTGATAAGGAGCCTCATGTTCTCAGACATTTGCTGCTTTTCTTTGCAGAGAAAAGATGCACCAGTCCGCCATGTATGAACTGTGCCAGGGGATGCACCAGATCAGCCTCCAGTTTGTGCGGCTGCAGCTGACTTTTGAAGAGTACACCATAATGAAGGTCTTGCTGCTGCTGAGCACAGGTACAGAGATGTCCACCTTGGCACTTTTTCTGCATTCACAGACCATCTTCCTTGGAGGAATTAACCCGTTTATAGTATTCAGGTAGCTGGTACCCAAAAAAATGTTGACATGATGGGAAAAGGGCTTTGACTTGGGTGAACTAAGTTATTTGCCAATTACGAAATTTTTTGCATATAAAAGAGCATAACCTTCCATTTCTTCATTCATCCAACCACTAAATATTAAGTGTCTTGGGTATATGGTGGGACTGGGAAACTTGGGGAGAATATAAGGGTGAGTGATACAGTCTCTATCCTCAGGGAGTTTATACTGTACAAGTTCAAAAACAACTTTAATACACCGTGAGTATGATGATGTTCTATGGTACAGGTAAGATGTACCACGGTGGCTCAGAGAAGGAAGAACACATGGAGTTCTGAGGATGGGGAGGATACATTGTATGACTGGATCTCTAAGGGCGTTGCAAGGGCTATAGATTGGATAGGAGGTGTGTGAAATCATTCCTGTTGAGAGAGTGTGAGTGATTTGTTTGGGATAGGGGGAATCACCCATATAGGCAATAGCACATAGTTTTGCCTGTTAAGTTTATATTTTTAATTTTATATATGTATTTACCTAATTTTCAAGGGGTGTTACATTATGTCGCTTTGGGAAGGTGTGGGGAATACAGTTGGGTATAAATTGGACCAGATTATTCAGTGTCCACTGAAGAAATCCAAACTTTATCAGGTAGGCAGAGGAGTGGGACACAGGGCTTTTAAAAAGCAGGACGGGGACAGGATTCAAGCTGTATTTCATGGCTTCGTGAAGACTGTCTAGTAGTGAGTGGAATAAGGTGGAGGGAGCAAAGCACAGAAGGGCAGAGAACTTAGCCTGACTGGAAGCACAGGACCTGCTGGGCAGCTGTGGTCGTGATGACCGCTTGCGTGATGGACAGGAGCAAGTGTGTTCAGAAACCACAGCAGACTTGGTGTTGACAGCTGGTGTGGGTCACAGTGGCACAGGTTTGGGGCACGGAAAAATGACGAGCTCATAAGAGGTGTCGTGACCAGAAATTGGTACTTGGGTACACTTTTCAGGAGTACATAATTCTGATGGGTTAATTTTTTATGCCAACTCTGTACCCTGCTAGAGATGACTAGAAGACAGGGGAAATTTGAGGCTGGAATTCAGAAGACAGGGTTGAAATATCAATTATTTTATACTTAAATGGCCAATAAGGTTATGTGGCATAAAAGAAGTATCATTTGAGCCTTGTTAAAGGCAATGACAGAGGCTGGTGTGACAAAGACAGACTGTCACAGCAGTCAGGAACTGGGAGAGAGAGCAGTTTTGGAAGCCAAGAGCCAAGCATTCCCAAAAGGGATATGACAAAGGGCATGGCTTGCAAAGAGAAAGTTGAGACTTTAAGAGAAGGTGGCTGGAGCTGACCATTGGGGATTGGACAGGTAACAAATGAGCAACAACTTGCAGATTGTCAGGAAGCTTTTTTAGGCTTCCAGAGCCAAACATTAGAAGAGAAAAGTTGGTGGCATGAGGTACTGGAGGAGACAAGGGAAGATAGGACTAACCTTGGCTAGGATGCTGGGCACCTGTTCCTCAGACGACACAGGAATTTCCAAACAGAGAGGAAATGAGGACACTCACATGAAGTCAAGGTGAGACCCAGAATCATGACAGAAGACCTCTGTGGGGAGGAAAACTGAGTCAAGGGCCATGGCCACTGAGGAAACAGAAACATTCTGGAAGTTGAGAGCCAGCAAGGATACCACAAGCAAGTGGACTTCAGAGCAGAGAGTGGTCACTGTAAAGTAGGAAGCAGGAGGTTGGCCCACACTCAACCTTACCTGCACTCAAACATCAGGGGCTTGGAGATGGGAGTGTGTTCAGAAGAGTTGTCTAGAGGAAAGGGGCTTCATGAGTCCAGGTGGCCGATAGAATGGGGAGGACAACATGTCATTTCCAGCAAGAAGGATGAGCCTGAGGAGAGCAAGGATCAAGAGCAACCACGTATGTTACGTACCTCCTATTTACAGTGTGACTTCCATATATTATCTACTTTAGTGTTTGTGGCAATCCCGAGAGATTGACAGCCCCGTTATAAAATGAACAAAACATATCCTGACTTTGTTAGGACTCAGATGCAGGACTTGGTTCACATCAAGGCTTGTCTCCAAGCTTCCAGAAGGCTGATTAGAGGCTGAGGCCCATGATGCAGCAGACACACAGTGTGGATCAGGCACAATTATAGGCGCTGTGGCAGAGGGGCAAACCCTCAGCCCTGGCAGGCAGGGGCCAGCAGTCCACAGCTGTGTTTTGTTTGGCCAACAGGTTTGGGGGTTGCTTTGGGCCTTTTCTTTTGTTTTGTTTTCATTGAATGCAATTGCCCAGGCACAGGGCACATCCTGTCCAGTTTGCCACAGGCCTGCCATTCCTGTCTAATTGTACCCAGCCCCATCTCCTGAAGCTTTTGTGTTTGCAACTCCTCTGCAAAGTCAACTGGAAAGAACCAGACTTCTTCCTGGTTCAAGGTTTCTCATGTTCCTAATTTATCCTCTCGAGAACGTAATATTGGGGAAATAATCTGTAAATCACTGGAAGTGATTTTATTCTCCTTTCTAAGCTATATTACTAACTATTCCTGGTTAGAAAATGTAAAAAAAATTTATACTTGATGGATGATAGAATTTAAATGAATATTGTTCTCTTAAAATGTCTGTGCTGCTCTTTATCAATTTTGACTATTCAGTCTTAATTGATGTCTTATTCTTTTATGTCCATTTACTCTTTCAGCCTCTAATAGATTCTGATATCATTTTGAAGCTGAATTAATTTATTCACTTCTAACTATCTCAGTGCTTTCAATTATGATTTCTTTAGGTGCAGAAAAAAGTGAAGTTAAAAGGCAGGAAAACATAAGAAAAGCATTTCATGAATCACAGAAACTGCTTATTTTGCTAATCTGTGATTGAATGCATGAAAATCATGCTTCTTCAGGAAGGGTAAATCACACACCTGATGTCCAGTGTATTAAGATTTTTATCAGTGACATCAAAACATTTTATCAGTGACATTCTTTGTACTTCAGAGGAGAGCAAAGCAGCTTCTCCCCCACTTGTCTCTGCTCTTCTCTGGCCGGTAGATTCTGGATCTTTTCCAGAAGCTCTGCTGCACGTAATAAGTAAATTCAGAAACTCTGGGCACACCTCCAAAAGTTGAGGTTTTGCTTAAATTCCCTTTATTTGTTGGTTTGTTTCAACTTCTAAAAAAAATCTGGCTGGGAAATCAGTACAATATATTTCAGTTAAAGCAGTAAATGTAAGTAATACTATTTGACTCAAGATATTATAATCTTGAGTCTTTTTATAACACAAATATCAGAAATATGAAGATCTTTGGTCATTTGTACTTGGAGATACCAAATAATATTGAACTAGAGCAGGGAAATTTACCCATTCTATTGTAATGGTCGATGATTTTGTAATGTGTGGCTGACATCTACACAGATATCTATATTGAAAAATTAAAGGTTTACTTTGTATAGTTTTATAACTTTAAAAAATGTTAATGGGCGGGTGGACAGTGTAAGGCTCTTTCTTGCAAATTTTCAGTGTATTTTAGTTTTAAGCTCATTGTAAAATTTTGGTAGATCCAGTAGATCTACAGTTTCACTGTTAACATCCTGATTGTTACCATCCTTCTGATTTTTTTATACTTTTATAGAGAGGTTTTAATTTCAAGGAAAAATCTTTGTTATATAATAGATGGCATTTAACTCTTACTGTGAAGATTAAGATACTTAAAAGAACAGCGAGGATTTTGCAGTCTCAAGAATGTGTGCAGTTGCTGTTAGGGATTTATTTTTCCACTACAAAAATAGATTTAAATAAATCGTAAGTCAAAAGTCGCAACAATTAAACTCAGGAGATGATTAGCATAATAGTGAAAGTTAATTTGCAAGATAACTCGCATCTTTATTCAGGGTAACAGAATTATCCCTGAAGACAGGAGTGTGCCTGTTTTCCATGGTCCTGTGTCATACTCAAAAATAATGCTCATCCATTCTAAGGTGCTGATGACCAGGGAAATTATCACGTAATGCCAGTTACAGAAAATTAGCAAATACCAGGTGTAATTAAGAAGTGCATTTTCAAAACTCCTAGTGTCAGTATCACAGGATGTGTTTTCATTAGGTCTTCATCTCAAAAATAAGGTTCTAGGTGATCTTATTTTTCAGGGTAATAACAAAGAATAGTAAAAAAATTAACAGATTTTCAGAGGGGATAACTTTATCTTAAACTCTGCTAACACCTCCTCCTCCTTGTACCCTTTCTCCATGAAGTGACTTCACATGTGTCCCAAGAAAGAGCAGGACACAGACCCACCTGTCATGACCAAAGTTCAAAATCCCGAAGCACTCTTTTTTTGTATGGGAGGGAATGGTTCTGGGGGTGAAAGGCTATTTGAACTTGAATATGAATGTTTAGCTTTCTATTGTTAGCTTACACTTAGATTGTCTGTGGCTCCTTCAGTCATCCCACAAAAATCAAAAGATATTTTCCTACCTCTGAGATAGTGGCAAGTCAGGACACTTTGTGCCAAAGTGTCATAAAACACTTTGCCAATATGCCACCAGCCACGTAGCATTGTGGTAGGCTTTGAACACAGACAAACTTCAACTTACACAACCCTTGCTCTGTTGTTTATTTGTTGTGCTCAGACACAATAAGGGATTAACCTCCAGTCCTGTTTCCTTATCTGTAAAGGGAGAATAGTGTAATGGGTTTTTTCCTAATGCAGTGCTAGGATTAAGTGATTAATATATGCAAAGTAGTAATGCACATCTGACACATAGTATTTGTTCTTTTATGTACAGATCTGGGCAAGTGTTTACCAGTAGATAACTGCAAAGTTTATCCATAATCCTGATTAATGGAGGTTTCATATCCAACCTCAAAATTGTTATACGAGTTTAAAATATTCAAGGCCATTGAACTGCTCAGATGCTAACGCTGTTTTTTATCCTAGTCATTTAGATGTCTGTATTCCTTAACACAGTTCCAAAAGATGGCCTCAAAAGCCAGGCTGCATTTGAAGAAATGAGGACAAATTACATCAAAGAACTGAGGAAGATGGTAACTAAGTGTCCCAATAATTCCGGGCAGAGCTGGCAGCGGTTCTACCAACTGACCAAGCTTCTGGACTCCATGCATGACGTAAGTAGAGCCCTTGGTTCCTGTAAAGTGAAGGATTCACAACCATACACAAACACACTGTTGACCAAACAAACTCAGAGAGTTGGCATGGCTTGGACTGGAGGTGTGGCTCAAGTGGTAGAGCACCTGCTTTGTAAGCTTGAAGCCCAGGAGTTCAAATCCCAGTCTCACCCCTTCACCCCTCCAAAAAAAGGAATTGGCTTGACTTTGAGAAGAATCAGGCCAGAAGGAGTTAAAATCTGGTTACAGTAATTTTTCTTTCTATAACCTTTAAAGCTCGCTTCTCTTACAGAAAGGGTATGGCTCCATGCCCTGGACCAGGGAAGGCCCTCCGATTTGCTACAGGTGTTGGATAGAGTTTCACATTTTTGTTTGCAATTTAGGAAATGTTTGGTTAATAAAAATGTTTGCTTTAACATTGCATAAATAGTGTCCATCTTCTACAACTGTTAATCTAATAACTCAATCTTTCAAAAACATTATTAGTGGTTCAGGGCCAGCATGGATCATCTTGATTCCTGCCAAATCTTGAATTCTATATTCATTATTCTTCATAGGAGTCACCTCTCTTGTTCTGTGTAAATACAGAAAGTAGATTCTGAGCTTGTTTCTCACTTAATCAATCAAAGATGTAGTCAAGATGTTTGCTAGCAGTTTCTACAAAATATCGATTCGGATAACTTGCTTTGTGTGTCATTTGGAATATGCTTCTTGTTTCACTTTGTGAGCAGCTTTTCTAGTTCCAGCTCAAAAGAATGTGGAATGCAGTCACGCTAAACCAGTTCTTCATATTCACGCATTTGCATTCTGTCTTTTCCAGAATTTACTGTCCAGGTTTGGCCTGGATGATTTGAATAGGAATTTTTCTAATATTTTATATGAAGAAAAATGTTGACAGACCTGGTGACCAAGACTATAATAATATTCCTATTGAAATGGAAGTTGGTTTGTGCCCAGTGGAATGATAGGTTTCTACAATGCTAACGGTGTAGAGTCATTGATAAAAGAATGTCATGTTATAGTGCTAGTGTTTTACCCTGAGACCCTTTTTATCATTGTTGGCCTTTGCTTTCTCGGAGCTTTTCATATGACAAGTCAAATTTGTCACAAGATAAGCACAATGATAGTTTTGCTAATTATCACAGGCTGAAAGGGTGTGGCTTAGTGGAAAATCTTGGAAATCAGATGCTAGTAGGCAAGGCTTGGGAGCAACCGGTGATGTTCCCTGGGACTCACGCAGGAAGAAACACACAGAACGAGCACTGCATGCGGTTGTGTGTCGCTGTCCTCCCTTATCCTCGTACAATGTTGAGGCCACACATCTCCTACGTGAGGACTCAATAGATTCAGTTTTTCTTGTTCATTTCATTGAAGAGTCTTAGTAGAGATTAGAAAGGGGTCTTACGGTTCTTTCTTAATTCTTTTCTTTGTACAGGCAGGCAAAGAGCAATATCAAAATTGGTATGAGCCTTGTATGCACATATGAATAATAAAACAATGAAAAAAATTGATATGAAAACTTTCATCACAACACGTGACAATGATGTAACACTTTGCAGCCAGGCATGGTGGCACACATCTGTAATCCCAGCCACCCAGGAGGCAGAGGAAGGAGAATGCCAAGTTCCAAGCCAGCCTAGGCAAAATTAGCGAGTCCCTAGCTCTGCAAGCAAAATTAAAACAAAATGGTTAGGGGCATAACTGAAGTGGTAGAGTGCCCTCCTAGCCCTGAGTTCAAATCCCAGTAACAAAAAAAAAAAAAGAAAGCAACTTGCATGTAATGAAACTGATAACAGGAGTTGAAGTGTGTTTTTTCCACAGCCTTTTTGTGCCGTAAGAGACAGAGCACAGTATAAACACAAAGAGACCACACCTAATGGTCCATGGATCAGAACCTCCTCTGGGCCTCAGCACCAGGCTATAGAAGGCACAGTCTGGGAGCCCAGTGAAGTTATTGGATGGCTGTGTTCGCTCATGCTGATTTGCTCAAAGGTTTTCCCAGAGCAACTAGTATGTTTGGGTGTTTTATTAACTAAGGTTATGATTGATATACAGTAACTGACAAAATGCATAGCTTTGATACGTTTGACATATGTGTATACCCATGAAGCAGTCACCACAGTTAAGGGAACGAACGAATCCATCCCCCCAAGTTTCCTCCTTCTTCCTCCTGCCTCACACTTAGCGCGTGTGAGTGCCTATGTGTGGTACTGGGCCTTGCAAATCCCTGCTGAATACTCTACCACTTATCCATGCCGCCAGTCCTTTTGTTTTGTATTTTGCTTATGAAGCAGGGTCTCATTACCTTTTTTCAGGCTGGCCTTGGCATTCATGATCCTCCTTCCTCTGCCTCCTGAGTAGGTGAGATTACAGGTGTGTACCACCACACCAGACTCCCAGTCACTTTCTATGTGGCTTCCTATAGTATTAGTTTTGTATTTTTCTAGTTCCATGTATCATGTAGGAGATGTGGGGTTTTTTGGTCTAGCTTCCTTCACTGAACATAATTTTGTTGAGATTCATTCACACTGTTGTTTATTTCAGTACTTCTGGGCTTTTCTGAGTAGTACCTCAGGGTAAGGGTATCCCACAATTTTTTACAGACACCTATTGATGGGCATTGAGTGTTTCCTATTTGGGGAGATCACATACAAGAACACTGATGGATAAGTCTGAGAACTGCCAAGTAATGAATGTCTGGTTAATATGGAAATAAATTTTCACTTTTAAAAGAGAAGGCCAAAATGTTTTCCAAAGTGGTTGCTTGCATGGTTGTACATCCCCACGGGAGATGTCCGACAGTTCCAGGGGCTCCCCGTCCTCGCTGACGCTGATGTGGCATCTCGTAGTCTGGCAGCTGTTGGGGACTTCTCACTCTGGTTTTTAAGTGCATTTCCCTAATGGATGATGACCACAGGCATCTCATTTATAGTTTTATGTCTTCTTTGGTGAAATGTCTGTTTGACTATTTTGCTCTTTCTTAAATTTTTCATGGTTTTCTGATTGTTGAGTGTTGAAAGTTGTTTATACACTCCAGATACACGTCCTTTAGCAGATGCACAACTTGGAAGCATTTTCTCCCAGTCCATGGCTTCCTTTCCTTCTTTAAAAAATGTCTTCTGAAGAGCAGGGTTTTTAATTTTAATGAACACATTCGCTTTCCTTCACTGTCACAAATGCTCCATATAATCAGCTCGTAAAGAGAAAAGGTTTATTTTGATTCACAGTTTTAGAGATTTCAGTCCGTCATCAGGTGCCCCTGTTGCTCTTGGACCAGTGATGAGGCAGCACAGCAGAGCAGGGAGATAGAGCAAAACTGCTCATTTCACAGCAGTCCAGGGAGCAGAGAGAATGAAAACGAGACCAGGGTCCCCCAGTCCCTTTGAGTGTACACCCCAGTAAGCCGAAGACCTCCCCACTAGGCCTCACCTCTCAAAGTTGCCACCACCCGTCATTAGCACCATGGACTAGAGGACCAGATCGCTAACACATGGGACCATGGGTGACATTTAAGGTCCAAGCTGCAGCTAGACACCAGTGACTCCTGCCTGCAGTCCTAGCTGCTTGAGGTGCTGAGGTCAGAAGGATAGCCGTTCTGGTCAGCCCAGGCAAGCAGTTCCTGAGACCCCATCTCTAAAATAGCCAGAGCAAAATGGACTGGAGGTGTGGCTCAAGTGGTAAGTCCTGAGTTCAAACCCCAGTCCCGCCAAAACTAAATAAAATCCAAGCTATACGAATTAAATGTAGTTGGTCATTTTCTGTTATGAGTCATGTTCTCAGTGTATATCTAAGCAGTCCTGTAGAAGCTAATGCCACAAAGCTTTGCTCCTGCTTTGTTATCATTGATATCCAGTGTCTTAGAAAACATTTTTTCATGTTTTTTTTTTTCTGAGCATTTTTGTATGTCTCAAAAAGAAGGGCAGGGATGGGAGGTATGGCTCAAGCACTAAAGCATTTGCCTACCAAGCAAAAGGCTCTGAGTTCAAATCCCAGTACTACAAAAAAAGGAAAATTTGATTCATCTTACTCAACGTTGACAAAAAGAGAACACAATTTTTTTAATCATTTTAATTCTTAAACATTTATTTTAAAGTATCAAAAATGTGATCCCAAGCTAGGGATAGTGGTTACACCGGTAATCTCAGCTGGAGCAGTATTTCACGTTCAAGGTCAGCCTGGGCTACATAGGGAGACCCTGACACAAAAAAACAGGTTCAATCTTGAAGGTGGCCTAAGAAGCATCTATTTATATTCCTATTCAGACAGAACATTGAAAAGTGCATGACAAGTCTAGAGGACGTTTCCATATGATTACTCAACCTTGAGAACCCCTACAGCTCTTTCCTTAGAGTACATTAGTGAAACAACACTTGTGGGGTTTTCCTCAAAGCAACAAAGAGTTAACCCATGCACTGGCTCTGTACTGAGGGCCTAGCTTTGCTCACCTTGTGGAGAAGAGAACAAATAAGAACCGTTTGCATGTAGATGGATGGAAGTTCTGCTTAAAGACGTGCACAGCCTGCTGGCTCCCAGTCACGTACACCGCTTTAGGACACACATGGGTTTCTTCCACGTGGTGCACGTATGTGTTGGCAGAACAGTGCCAAGGTGGCTGAAAGGAACACTGTCTGTAAAAAACAGGTTGACAGTTGAGTGTTTGACTCGGTCAACAGCTTTAATGAACCACAGCCCTATGAATATCAATCTTTCCCCCAAAAAAATTTCAAAAAAGAGCAGCAGTGGGAGGGTTCCAAGGTGTAGATGTATTTTTGTGTTTGGGTGTTGTGTGTAAAGCATATAAATTCCTTATTGTACTAGTCAGAGTTGACAGTGAGTGGTTTTTAGCTGTTACTAGGAATAGTAATCTTATGGTTATATGAAGGACATGTCGAATGAATTTAATGCTAACTTCTATTTGTTCCTAGAGATCAAGGACTGTGTATGTTATGGTCAGTGAGTAAAACAGTAAATATGAAAAATTATATTAGTAGCATTTCCTG